ATGCGTAAAAAGACAGTATAAGTCATTATAATCCGTAATTATGTCCCCACTGGATGCAACAAATGTCTCGTTTATAAAGGGTTTTAATGTTTTGCTCTTCGTCGCTCCTGCCGGGAAACAGCATCACAGTATGGTAAGGGGCGTAACGTTTCCGTCACATGCTTGAGGTATTCAGCAACATCATATGACCCCTTTAATTGGTTAAAATTAAACATTTTGAAACTATTTTCCTTATTACTCCCCTGATCTGCCATTGGTCGGACAAGCAGATAGCCCTGCCCTAAACTCGTGCCATTGGTTGTGCCAATATATATACAAAATGACACTTATTTTTTTACATATTGTAACTCACATGATGTACACAACCTTTAAAAGACTTATTTTACATAGTCGAAGCACCTTCCACAGACTGAGTCACAGCGACTCCCACATCACCACATGTTCCTCAAGGCCAAACGAGTAGAATAACACATCTGGAGAACTCTTCAAGCTGTTTATTTGCACTGTGAGGAGCAGCAGCGTGACTGCACAGGGAGAATATTGAATTTCGGTACAGAGTTGAGACAATGTCACCTCAGATGTGGTGCAGCAGGAGACAAGCACACTGTCTTTCAGGAGAAGCTTGTTATAACAGCACTGCACCAGCTAACTAGAAGCTCGGAGTCCATAATGTAGAGGCCTGTCATATAATCCAATGGCAAAGAGTATATCCAAGGGAGGAAAAAACGGTTAGACCTGGATTACTGTGTCCCTAAATGTAGATAGGCTTGAATTGGATGATATCCTGACGGAAAACCTCAGGAATGTTCATGTCACTACAGAGCCAGATGCCTAAAATCACTTCTTGTAAAACTGCAATGCTATTTACGTTGCCTGACCAAACATCTGAGCTTCAGTAAACAAGGCAAACAAAAATCCAAATCTCCAGATGAAAATGTCACCCACTCTGCACATACTCATTTAAAATCTGCAAAAGTTTTCTCATACATATCTATTGGAAAAAAAAAACAATTCTCTTAAAATTTAACATGCACCAATGCTTAGTTTCACCATGTTTACAAGAAACAAAAATATTGAAATGCCCAAGCTTTCATCATTACACAGCATTTTATCGTGTATGCGAATCTCTGAGTAAAATTTTGTCAGTGTTTGCCGTGTTTATTCATTCTGCGCACATTTCCTGTGATTCATGGATGCGCACATTGAGATGTCATTTTATAACCTCTGGGTCTGCAGCGTCCTGTCATTTTCATATACGAGAGATCTTTTTACTGCCTGTGGTTAGCCAAATATAGTACAGGACGAGAAAATTAGTGACTTTAAGCAACACTTTGCCATGTTTGCGTAACTAGTGGCAACCTGCTATGGATATTCAAAACAGTAGGCAGATGAATGCATTCAGTCACTGCATGATGGAAATCCAAATATTTAGTGGTCAGACTGACTTTGTAGAGTCTCAGCTGTGTTGGATGAGCACTAAGTGGTCACGTGAAATGGAAAAAGTACTTTATTATGGTTCCATTACATTTCTGACAAGTGAATTACAATCTGTTATTACTGCCAGACTACATTTTCCATTCAAGTCAGTCGGCGTTAGAGAGGTTAGACTAGTGATTAATCATCCATGTAGTTTCTGTACAGTTTGGTTGGTTTGTCCTTTTTTAGCTCATTTCCTGATAGCAGCAGTTCACAGCGGCTCATTTGTGCTATAAGACTTTTAAATACATATTACTTTCCTCCAGGGTGCTAGACTCAAGTAATGTAAAATCTTCGAAAGCATCAAATGAAATGAAATGGAAATTACCCCATTACGAACTATTGATTTCAGTCTATCATTGAAGATTTTCAGCAATGAGATGAGCTCTACATGCCAATCCTACCAGTCTAAAAGCTTTTTCCATTAATGGAATTATACATTATTGAAGGAATTTACTTATAATGACACTACAAGGCTATTTAATTTAACTAATTGAATGTAAAAGCCAATGGGACCTACTACAAGCACAGCGTCAGTTCTCAATCCATTCTTCTCTCACGAACACAGATGAAGAAAATATTAACCAAACACCACATTGAAATGATAATATTATGTCTGAAAATAAATAAGGCTTAGTCGATGCCAAATAAGCATGACTTTTAAAATGCAGTAACCTGATTGATAAATCAATATCACAAAAGTTCTCAAAGTGAAATGTGATAATATCCCTTGTAATCTAAAGGGATATTATCACATTTCACTTTGAGAACTTTTGTGATATTGATTACTGTGAATTTCAAACTTGATATTTCGGTTATCTTCAGACAAATGCAAATTTGCAAACATAAGGGTGTTTATTCTTTATATTGCAAAACATTTTCCATGAATTAATGCACGTGTCAGGGCGCACGTAACACACTCTCTGTTTTCTTACCATCTTGCCATCGTCCTAATGGGATTACGCCAACTAGCAGCATCCCATAGGTGTGTGGGTTACAGTTTCAACACTATTAGCAAAGCATTAGAAACACTTTACATGCAGTGCAGGTATCAAACATATCATATGTAAACAAAGGCTTATTAGTTACTATTGCAATAATGTCATATTAAGCATGCAATTAATTGCAAATGAAATCATGGACATGAATGTAAAGTGAGACCAGGCATTTTATAATCCCATTAGACAGACACAGGCTAGTTTTTACATTTATCTTTAATTGCAAAGATTTTATGCTCCAAATTAAAATAACAGTAACACTTTATTTTGCTGTAAAATACAGCATGGGTTACATTTAGACAAGGGTTCAAGTATAAAATTAAAATAGATTTGAACCCAAAAATGTAACTATTGAATTGAATTTGTTATTGATTTTGATGCATGGGAGAAATGTAAGAAATTGTATTAAATATGTCTCATCAAAATGTCACATTTTTACAGTGAAGGCTGTCACATGGTTTAACATTTTGTAATTTTCTTTATTAATTAAAATGATATTAGATATCCAAAATAATGGTTTGATATTTATGTATGTTATTCTATCTTGTGTATTTTATTTTGTGTTTCATAATTGTTCTACTGTACTAAATGTAGCTGAAAACTCTTGAAATAGCTTTCACTAAGGTTTCAAGAGTGACAACTTACCCCCAGAGAGTGTGACAACATGTCCTGCTGGAGTGTTTTAAATCAACTGTATTCTTTTTTTAGTTGATGTGTTCTACAGCTTTTCGTAATCGAGACTTCAAGGTTTGTGACACAGAAACAGAGACTTTCAAAACCAATCCAGTTCCAATATTCGCAGAAGTCATATGACACTTTGTTGAAATCCTCAACGCAGGAATTAGTATACTGCTGTAAAATAACAGTGTGTGGAAATGTTGTCGGCAAGCTGGTGCTTCTGGGTGTTACAGCAGCGTTGACCTTCTCAATACGCCTCGGAGAATGCGCGAGGAATGTTAATACACATTGTCATACATTTAGCGAGCACAATTTAGGCAGGTTCTAGACTCAATACACACTGCTTTCATCATGCAACATACAGACGCGCAGACGACACGAAAGATGGGACAAAGTTTGGCGCATTGATTACAATAAACGACGGGTCACGCGCACTAAACTCCCGTTACAAACGCGCGTGCAGCCCTAGAATCGGACAATGAACCGCGAGCGAGACGGTGGAGGACTCGGGATATGACCCATGGACGCGTGCACGCTCTCACACATCCTCCCGGGGTCTGACCCCAGCACACGCAGACACGCGAGACCCGCGTGCCCATCGGACAACAGCGGCTCGCGCCACCGGCTCATCTCCGGACGTTTAACATGAGGATCTATTTTTGCCATCCGATGTCACAACAAATTAAGAGATCTGATTGGGCGACGTGCCCTTTCTTTGTTCCGTTCTGCAAAGAGCGTTCAATTTTCTGCCGTTGCACAGATGCAATCGGCAAATGCGACCTTTTGTTATCCCAATAGTATTTGGATGATGCATAATCATCATCATCAAAGTCGTGATATATGGTTCAGTATATGCAACAAAATTGACAGTGAACTATCTCTCCCTGTATTCTTATGCTACTGGGGTCTCAGACACAAACGCAATGGAACACTCTTAAAATAAAGGTTCATTTTTGAAGATCCATTTTGGTTGCACAGGGTTTTTTGAGTTGAGCAAACTGGTTCGTTAGAGATTAAAACATTAAAAAGGCATTGGTATTTCATTAATGGGTTCTTTAGACCATTGTTTCTAGGTTTATTCAAGCATCAGAACATGATGGTTTTCTAAAGAACTAGTAAATAAAAAGTTCTCCATTGAACTTAAAAGGTGGCATTGGACTCTAAAACCCTTTTTGTTCCTTACACGAACCTTTATTTTCAAGAGTTGTCTGTCTGAAGGGTGTAACTCATCAGAGCCCAATACAGAACCAGAAAACCAAAACCATCTGGGTTTGATTTACTCAACTGGGTGGGGGTCTTATGAACTGTACTTCTTACCAAGCGTAGGTTACATTTGTTAAATTCATGCCTTCGTATTGAAGACTTTATCCACTGCTCAAACATGCCAAAACTTGTTTGACATGGTTGAAGGTGAACAATATGCTAGAGAAAGACGAGCAACTAAGACGTCCAAAAATGAAACACCACGCCACACTGTAAAGGAATAAATAACTCGGTTTACTTACAAAGGAATAAGGAGCGGTATGCTGCAGACATCACGAATCCTGTATGAACTGGAGGTCCTCTATAATAATGAAAATTCAAACAATGCGCCCCGTTTCCTTCACTGTTCTTCACGCGAACTCAAGTGTTCAATCACAAAAAGCTGTAGTAGAGCATAAGTATTTGGGAAGAAAAATGGATCAGCAGTCTACTAGGAGACGAGCACAAGGACAGCATATCTGGACACACTGAAAGACGAATCCATCATCAAGGACTGGAACATCATCTCCGCGTTTCCATCGGTTTCACCGTCAAATCATCAAAGTTCCCGTTCGCTCTGACGGAGGACGCGCGTCTCAGGTTGCCGTTGCGAGGTGCTCTCTCTCTCTCTCTCTCTCTCTCTCTCTCTCTCTCTCTCTGTGTCTGT